GTATCACACTATGTATACATCTCATTCCTTGACATACTGCACACTACTGCTGAATACACAAAAAACAAAACTCCTAAACTACTCTTAATAAATAAAAAGGGGTAGGTCACCTAAACGGACCTACAGGCAAATAACTCCCAGAGCTAGGTTATAGCTCTGGAATATGTCAGTGTTCCAATTTATGTGTATATCACAGTTGTGTACATAAGGGTACTGCAATATATCTGTTTTTTTCTCTCTTAAAGATATACACAACATTGGATGTTCAAAGTTATGTAAAAATACCGTAAATATATATTCCTTGTTTGTACTAGGTGTACTATTAAGTTTTTGAATCTGGTACAAAAAAAATCTGTCTTTGATGTGATTTTTAGAGAATTGTACATTACAGTGTGGTAGCAGCTAAGAGACTATTCTTTAGCATAGTTAATCGATATAACACTTGCACATTAATAAGTGCTCGTATACATCACCTGTGTTATAAGTCAGACAGACCCTAACAAAATATTAACAATGTAACTAGCATTGCTGGTTTATGAACATAGTGGTTGTATATTAGCAAACAGAATTTAATGCTCATTGGCCAGTGAGAAATATTGCACATCAAGGTCATGTGTCAATAAGCGATGTTTTCCCACAATCCCTGCAGGGTTATAAAAGGAGAACAGCTAAGTGTAGCAACAGACAGCTCAAGGATTCCGTCCTTGTCATATCTCTCCATTCAACGCCTCCACATCCCATCTTTTGTGAACACTACTTGTCTCATTCTCAATAATTTACGTTTTCAAGCAATTACTTGGCAATCTGTTGCAACAGAAAGAAAAAGAAAACAACTAAACTCATCGCAATGCACAAAAGGTATTTCCAAAGCCAGAAAAATCCAACACAGTATTGTGCGATGGCCAATGACTCACGCGTTTGACGTAAAATATATAGTACAGCATTCTCTGATAAACACAACAATCTTTGCCGCCAAACTTCAGTCCTTAAAAGGAGCATACTTCCATGCAGATAAGATATACAGTCCACCAAAAACACGTCTTCAACCACCACTATCACTAGGAAATCCTCTCCGGTGGTGTTTATTAAATATACACTGTGCAGATTTATTATATTTTCCTTTAAGTTTATGTCACATGCTGCATATAAAATAGATATGCTTTTTTATAAGTTTTAGGAGTGAAAGTCAGTGCAAAAAATTAAACCTATTAAAATATTAGAATCCTTATATATCATGACAACACTGGGGAACTGCCACAAAGGGGTTAATATACATATAATTTAAATGTTATGTCAAATCAATGTATATGTTGTGCATACGATATGTAATGGTAACTATGTGACTGGTTCCCAGCTTGGGATCTTCTCTGGTCTGGCACCAGGGACGGCCACAGCAATTCTTCGGGATAAAATCTACTCTCTACCCGCTGGAATGGCAGGTATCATCCCCTCTGCTCACTCCTTCTACCAGCTAGATATCATCCCCTCTGCCTGGACCTAAAGTCAGAGACAGAGACACCTTTTGTGTCACAACCCCAAGTTATTAGTCTGTCTGCCATCAGGTCCTCAGACTTTGTCGCAGCACCCCCCAAAAGGCAGCACTTCCATTTTATGTGGGGGGCTTGGACGACAAAGATTAATTGTAAACGATCCTCAGATTTAGCTGAATTTAGCTGAATTGTGTAAAAACAATTACGTTCCATTTACAGTTCTTGTAATCAACTAGACACCCCAAATTTTCAGTCGGAAGATATTCCATGCAAATTAATAATTAAATGAATATATACATATAACAGGAGAACACATTTTAAAACATATAAACTCCATGTAAAAAGTTAGAGGAGCCTTTTCAAGCAGGGCATGTCGTCTGCAGTTTAAAATAATCACATTTTCACACAGTAGCTCTTTCAAACAGAGAACATTTTAATCTATTTGTTTATGTTTTGTATTTCTTCCAGCTAACGCATGCAGCAAGGCTATTTCTTTATTAATTTGTTTATTTTTTGGGAGGGCCTAGTGTTGATCAGATTGAGAAAGCTTCTGTTTAGGTTAATGTGCATCAATTAGGAGTTAGGCTTGCTCAGTAGAGTGACTATAACAAACGTTGCATAGCTCATCAGAATGTGAGTCTTTAAACATCAAAAAATAGCCAGACAAATAAAACCTCTTTATGCGGCCTGCCTATTCTTCTCTTTGAAGGTGTTACTGGAAGAGCCACTTTCAATAGCGAGTGCTGTGAGACAGGCATACATCATTACTTGGCATCAATGGAAGCATAATATATCTGTTTTAGGAAAAGAATGACTCTCTGACAATTCAGCCACGGGCAAGTCAGTTCAGGATAATACAACCACCGCATAACACATTAACTGGAAATGGCTGGAAACTGATCAAGACTAAAGAATATGCACCTTTATTAATCGTAAATTAAAGATTTATGGTCTAGCTTGCTCCATCTGGCTAACTGAGACTCAGTAAAAGAAGGTATTTGGAACAGAATCAATTAAATGAGGTCAATATTTTACAATATATGATTATATGTGTAAGAAAATACTTTTTTTTCCTACAGAGAGCCCCTGCATTACAAAAATTAAAGATATAATGTATATAAGGTATATTGGAAGGTATATTGTAAGGTATATTTTTCTGCATGAGCAACTTACATATTGGGAAATAAGTTGATAATTGCAGTGCAGTACCCTATGTTGCCCAGGCTGTGACATAGCCTGGGGAAGTCCAGCATGTAGCTCTGCCCCCTTTTATAATGCGGCGCGTGCGGCGTGTGTGGCACGTGCGCCCCCGCGCCATGACACTGTTGATATCATGACCCGCCAAAACATTCTAATTTGAACGTTTTGGGGACTTGGCTATACAATTAAAGACACACATTATAAAAAGACTTCCTAGCGCATGGATCATTGCCCTGTTATTGTTCTAATTTTGGTTCCCAATAGTGCGTTGTATTCTTTGTGTATTTCTGGTTATTTGATCTCAGCTTTTCTGACTATTCTCCATTCTGTAATCCTGTGACTCAGCTATTGTACTACGCTTCCCTGATTTTTGGTTTCCCTGACTCGGCTTGTCCCTGAGTATTCTGTGTGTATCAAATGTAAAGCCTGGACACTCTAAGGACCGGTATATGTTTACTTCTATTATCAACTACACTCTGTGTGTTGGGTCACTTAGTAATCGTGTCATTACAACAAGACCTTATGGACCATGCAGGTGTAAACCCTAAAGGGGCATCTTATGATAACATATTCGACGAAATTGATCATTGTATGGACCAACTTGCCCTTGCCTTGCACACCTTGATGACACGTTTGTCAACTTTACAATCAGAACAGCAATCAACTCCAGACAATCCTATATCAACTGGGTTAGAAGTAACAACTCATGGCTTCATTTAACATATAACATAGAACTCTTCTTTGCCTTAGACAAGGGAACAGGTCCTTAGTTGAGTACACATTAAATTCAGGTCGTTGGCAGCAGAGGTAGGTTGAAATGACCAAGCGTTTTTAGATGTCTTTCTTAATGGTCTTTCTGACAGTATTCTAGATGAAGTTGCCACCAGAGAGCTTCTTGTAAATCTTGAAGAAATGATCACCTATATGTCTCATACAGATGAACAGCTAAGACATAGATTGAACACTAGGGAAAAACCTAGAATAGTTTCTACTTCCCTGGACATACACCACTGGAAAACAGGACTTCGGGTGGTCAGTTGAAAAAAGCAGCTTTTATTGAATACAGCATAAAAAAATCTTTAAAATAAATAATAAGAATATGGTCTGTCCTACACGTTTTGACCTTAGAAATAGGACTTCCCAGGGACCATATAATAAAAGCAAATCACAAAATGACAATATTTGCAGGGAATGTTGTTGGTGGATAAACATTTTGAAACCCTAAAGAAATATATTTTAATAAAGAAAAGGCTAGCACACTTGGCAAACAGCTATATAAGACACATCAACGCAAAGCCATAGAGCACAGAAATAAGGGTGCTCACTCTGAAGCCTTATTTCCAAAGGCTTATGAATGAATAGACAATACTAATGAATGAGGAGCACAACCAACTAAATAAAATGTACTTTATTATACGGGTAATAAATCACAGGTATCCCAAAATAAATATCCATTAATCTCAGCATATATAAAACTATACTATACTATACAATAAATGCAAATAATATAACCTAATAAAAAAATAAGCATAATCAATACTCAATACTTGGAATCAATAGTATCTATCCTAATACAGACTTAAATAGATACCTGCACAATAACGTCCAACAAATAATTACATACCAGAAAATGAAAAATGTCAGAATAAGTGAGAAGAGGGTGAAAAATCAAACAAATGCCCCTAACGTTTCGACATGTACGCCTTTATCAAGGAAACCCTTGTACGATTTGTACAAGAAACACATTGACAAATGTAGACATGTTGCACCTGTGTGTCAACCGGGTGATAAGCTATGGTTAGTATTGTCTATGGTTGAACACTTAACATTTACACTTGAAAGATCCGTCCATGAAACTTGCCCCGAGATACATAGGTCCTTGCAAGATCATGTGACGTATCAACACAGTGCGTATAGTCTTGCGCTTCCTCCTGCTTTGAATATCCCAAATACTTTCCACGTATCATTGTTGAAACCTTTAACATGTAACCGATTTACCTTTAACATGTTACTACTACTCCTGTTCAGGTAGATTGTCTGGAGGAATATGAGTTGAATGCTATTATTGGTTCTCGTTTATCTAGAGGTTGGCTACAATACTTGGTTGATTGGAAAGGATATAGTCCTGAGCAGAGGTTGTGGATTGATTCTTCAGGTTTTCATGCTCAGCGGTGTACATAGCGTGGTCGCAGGGGTTGACCTGGTATGTACACCAGTGTGGCCAGCCTCTTCTCCTGGGGGGCCCAGGAGCTGGCCACCTCAGGGCCCCCCGAGGCTGGCCCTGGTGTCACCAGGTGGGCGGGCTGGTGGGCGTGCAAGGGAGCACTCTCCCCTGAGCGCTCTCTGCCCAGCTCCCTCGCGCACTGCTTACTGATGACGTCATGTTCCGGCTCCAGCATTAGTAAGCGGCGTGCGCAAGGGAGATGGGTAGAGAGCACTCAGGGGAGTGTGCTCCCTTGCGCGCCCGCAGGACAGGCCGCCGGGCAGCACCACTGGACCCCAGAGAATCCCCTCAGCACTCCCAAAGGTAGGGAGGCTGGGGGATTAAATTAAAAAAAAATGTGTATGTATGTTAGTATTAGAGTGTGTGTGTGTTAGTGTTAGTTTTTGTGTCAGTGTGTGTGTTAGTTTGTGTGTGTCAGTGAGTGTGTTACTGTGTGTGTCTGTTACTGAGTGTTAGTTTGTGTGTGTCTGTTAGTGAGTCTATTTGGTGTCTGTTAGTGAGTGTATGTTTGTCAGTGAGAGCGTATGTTTTGTAAGTGAGTGTGTATGTGTGTCTGTCGGTGAGTGTGTATGTGTGTCTGTCTGTCAGTGAGTGTGCATGTATGTCTGTCACTGAGTGTGTCTCTGTCAGTAAATGTGTGTGTCTGTTAGCTATTATGTATGCGTCTGTTCGTGAGAGTGTGTGTTTAAAACCCCTTCAACACTTACCTTTCTCCAGGGCCGGACTCCCTTGGCACTGGGGATCCCTCCGCCCCGATCCACCTCTCAGCTCTGAATGCGCATGCGTATGCATTATTCAATGCTTTCCTATGGACATCCAGCGTCTTCTCACTGTGATTTTCACAGTGAGAATCGTGGAAGCTCCTCTAGTGGCTGTCACTAGAGGATGGATTAACCCTCAGTGAAACATAGCAGTTTCTCTGAAACTGCTATGTTTTCAGCTGCAGGGTTAAAACTAGAGGGAACTGGCACCCAGACCACTTCATTGAGCTGATGTGATCTGGGTGTCTGTAGTTGTCCTTTAAGTGTATGTGTATCTGCATGCACTGGCGTACATACCGCGGTCGCAGGGGTCGCAGCCCTGTGACCCCTGTGACCAGGTGCCCGCCGCCATGTGTTGCAGCCCCGGCCTGCGCAGAGTAAGCGCTGGTGGGGGGGCCACAGATCAATTTTCACACCAGTGCCCCATGGGTCGTGTGTACGCCACTGTTCATGCTCCTTGTCTTCTCAAGTCCTTCTCGTCCTGGTCCTTTCCACCCAGTGGGCGATTGTCGAATGGTCATGTCACAGTACTTTATGTTGCCCTGGCTGTGACACAGCCTGGGGACATACAGCATGTGGAGAAGGACCTTTCCCAAAGCCCCACTCCTCAGCAGTTCCAAGGTGGGCTGTTGTACTTCCACCCTATTTTATGATGTGGTGCATGAGCGTCAACATCATGACACTGATTATGTCATGATCTGCCAGGTTTTTGGGGCATGGCTATACAATTAAAGACACACCCTATAAAAAGGCTTCCTAATGCATGGCTCATTGCCCTGCTATGATTCTAATTTTGGTTCCCAATAGTGCGTTGTATTCCCTGTGTATTTCTGGTTATTTGATCTAGGCTATTCTGACTATTCTCCTTTCTGTAATTCTGTAATTCGGCTATAGTACCCCACTTCCCTGATTTCTGTTTTCCCTGACTTGGCTTGTCCTTGACTATTCTCTGCCTATCAAACGTAAAACATAATGTCCTGTGCCATTGCATCCTCTGCATATCATCATTAACAGTCTTGCTGGCAGATTGAAAACTCCCTTAACCTCACCTCTTGCATCATGAGTAAGAGGGTAAGAATGGGAAGAATGCTTATTTTAAAACGGAAAGTCTGTAAAACAATTACAAAAAACAATATGAGCTAAAGTTTGTTTTTTAATACAACTAATAGTGCTCAGCGCTGCGTAAGACAGAGTTATTTTAAGGCCAACAAACAGATCTCTTGTGTAAAGTCACATTCATGGATACGGTACCTATAAATATTCACACACTTCGGAACGTAGGGGAAAAAAAGTTCATGAATGTTTCCTTGTTTAATCCACAAAACCTGCACAATTTCTGTCTATAAAACAACAATCTGCACCTTGGAGGTCAGTTATCCTTTTCAAACAAATCATAAAAATGTTAGCAACTATCTCCATGGCATCAGAACACTATTCAAAACATCAGTATATGGTTAAAAGTGAGAGAATCATGGGCTTTCCGACCCAAATAAGGGCATATGTGAAAGTTACAATAAATGTCTTTAAATTTGTCTCAATAAGTTAAATGAAGGTACATGTTCTTTGGTGGTTTCAGGAATGCACTTTATGGAGGTTGGATATAAAACCTTTGAGAAATAGTTTTATTTTAGTGAATCATATTTTAGACATATAGACACCCTAACTTGTCAAAGTGTTTGTAATCAATTGCTAGGCTATTGTTGCCTTTCCTTCAATCCTCTACTAGTCCGAATTCCAGATGTGCAGAACAGTGTGGTAGCTTTCTCGATCGGTGTAGAGGTTCCCCAATATAATGGATGCAACCAGTTATATTGGATATAAGACAACCTGTTTTATTAGGGCCAAGTTGCCTGCTTATATACAAGACCCCCAGCATGGGGTCTCCATTCAATACAATAGTGAACCTGCCCAGGTGTCTCTGTGTCTGGGAGATAAGTGAGTTTGCCTTTGCGTAAAATAATTATGTCCCAAACACTCGAGGTACTAAATATTACAACAAAAAACACCCCAAAATACATATGAGAGAGATAGGAACCCCCACAAGTATGATATCCCTGGATAGCCCAGATCTGAGCACCCAAGTTGTCCAAATAGCCCTCAGAGCCATGTATTATAGTCAAATCGCCACCGGGTTAAAGTTTTAACCGACCGCACACGTGGCTTCTGCCCAAAATAGTTCCAGAGGAAAGAGGTAGCGGCCAGTCAACTTTCTGGATTTCCAATGTGAATTTAGATGAAGGTTCCCCCTGGCTCGCAGGGAGCGAAAGTTCTTCACATTCAGGAGTGTTTTTTCCCCGAAAAGCACTCTCCTGGCTTGTCTGCTAATGGAGCAGGCAACGGTATGATTTTCCTAGGGTTTGCGGCAATGTATCCAAAATGTAGTTCCATGTATTCAAAGGTACCGAACCAGTGGGAAACAGATTGGGTTCGGCCAACAGAGAGAGTTAAATAGGGGAGGTCTTTAATGTCTTTTGGGTGGTACATCAGGGTAGGATAGAATAAGCCATGGCTTCTGTGACAGTGTTGATATGATATAATGGGTTTTTGTTTAAGAACTGTTTTAATTGTTAAGGTGAAACTGTATTTGGGGAAGAAACTGTATTTGAAAGTACCTGCTTTTGATCGATGAACTTTTACTGGGGAAAATGACTGGAGAGTAGACATGGTTGGCTGCAACAAATGAGCCCCTATTTAAAAACCAAAGCAACAGGTACATGAGGCACTTACCATGGAAGGGCACAACTCCTCATGGTCAATGAGATGCTGGTTTCTCTAGGAGGACTAGTTAACTATAGACATGTGCATGTAGTTTCAAATGAATTACATTTTGGACGATCAGCAATTCATCTGAATTCCATAACACCCAATTGCCAAATGGATGAATCACAAAATAAATTAAACTGGCAATGGATGGCATGTTGGCTTGTTTAGTGATTCAGATTGATGGGAAAAAAATTTGATTTATGATCAGAAGACAGCTGCTAAATGTTAATTATTTTTTTGACAGATAAGTGACCAATAGAGGCAGGGCCGTCTTTAAAGCGAGGCAAATGTGGCAGCTGCCCAGTTAATCCTGGGTGGCCCAAAGCAGATACCCCGTGGGCCCCGCTGTCAACTAAAAAATGTTTTATTTGCCTTTTACTGCTGCAGGATGGGAGGAAGTGACTGCTGTGACTCACTTCCTCCCAGATGGACTAAAGCCACACGGGAGGAAGGAGGAGGAGGCTGTCAGGAGGGGGCTGTCAGAGCCTCACACTCCCAACTACCTCAGCCTGCCACTGGGCCCCAGGGAAGCCACCCTCCCGAACCCATAAAAAATGTTAACTTTGCATGTGTGTCAGTATGTATGTGTGTGTGTCAGTATGTATGTGTGTGTGTCAGTATTTGTGTGTGTCTTAGTATGCCTGTGTGTGTCTTAGTATGTCTGTATGTGTCTTAGTATGTGTGTGAGTATGTATGTCAGGGTGTGTATGTGTGTCAGTATGTCTGTCAGTGTGGCAGTATGTCTGTCTGTGTTTATCAGTATGCTAGTGTGTCTTTGTATGCCTATCTGTGTGTGTGTAATTATGTCTGTGTGTGTCACTGTGTGTGTTTCAGTATATCGGTCAGTGTGTGTGTCAGTATATCTGTCAGAGCATGTGTCACTATGTCTGCGTGTCACTGTGTGTGTCAGTATGCCTGTCTGTGCGTGTCAGTTTTTCTGTGCGTGTCAGTTTGTCTGTCAGTGTGTGTCAATATGTAAGTGTGTCAGTATTTCTGTCAGTGTGCATCTCTATGTTGTCAGTATGTATATCTGTGTGTGTCAGTGTGTATATCTGTGTATCTGTCAGTGTGTATATCTGTGTATCTATATTTAGTATATCTATGTTTTTCTGTGTGTATCTGTATCTGCATGTGTGTCAGGTTGTGTATCTGCGTGTTTGTATCTGTATGTTATCATTGTATGTATTTGTGTACCTGTATGTTGTCAGTGTGTGTACCTGCATGTGTATATCTGTGTGTGCATCTGTATATAATCAGTGTTTCTATCTGTGTATCTTCATGTGTGTCAGTATATGCATCAGTGTGTCTGAATATCCATATGTGTCAGTGTTTGTATATATGTATCTGTATGTGTGTCAGGTTATGTGTCTGTATGTGTTAGTGTGTGTATCTGTCAGTCTGTATCTGCATGTGTTAATGTGAGTGTCAGTATATATCTGTGTATCTGCATGTGTTTCAGTGTGTGTGTGTGTGTGTGTGTGTGTATGTGTATCACAGTGTGTGTGTGGCAGTGTATGTATACATGTGCATACATTTCATCATTCAAACTTCAACACTACATACAAACACAGTCCTGCATTGAAACATCAACAATACATACAAACACACCTTTGTGTTAAACACCAAAAGTGTATATAAACACACCCCAGCATTAAAAAAGTAAAAACTACACATAGATGCATACTTGCATTCAAACACCAACACACATACAAACAC